AGGACATGGGAAAGAAAACTGAATAAAACAGGCTGTAGACAAGAGGGGGAAAAAAAAAAGATGTACAAGACAAAATGTTCCTATTGCTTAAATCACAGCAGGTGCACAGCACTTAGTTGCTGAGAGAGCTAGTTATCCCATGAGAGCTTGTTCTCCTTGTATGCTTCCAGCATAGCTCTATATTTTTCCTAAATGAGATCCATTTACTTAGGCACAATTGGGAGCCTTGGCTAGGTTCTGGGTATTAAATCACTTTCCATGTACAGCTGCCCTATGATCCAGGTTTACCCTCCCATTTGCAGATTCTGCCTTTGTGCCCCAGCCTGCTCAGAAATTATTTGCACTCAGTGTGTTCCTCGCAGTGAGAGCAGGTTCTGCATTTCCAGGGGCACAACCTTCAGGATTATTTTTTCATTACTTCCTTCCCACCTTTTTTTTTTTTTCCCTTCTCTCTGTGATTTCAAACAGACACCCACAGCAGATGCTTCACACTTTCAGCCTGCCATGCTGTCCTATCAGCATCTGCTCCCCTGGCATGCACATACATGGGATGGGAGAGCACACTTGCTCCTCTGACACCTCCCAAAAAGCTTCACCTACTTTCCTTCAAGCCCAGCATCTCTGGGGGTTTTAAAACAACTGCCCACAGCTTTTTTTTTTCCAGCATTGCTCTCCCAGGCATTGCCTTGCCTAGGTTTACCAGTCTGGAATTTCTATCAGTATGATAGCTCCTTTTTATGACTCAAAGCAAACACACATCTTGGGCTGGGTTTTTTTTTTCCCTTGACTGGATTAAAAGGGAAAATGATGATTTAACAGTAGCTAGCCCCAAATAGCACCGTTTTCTTGCTTACAGCAGCCAGTTGCCACCCTCTGTATGGCTGCAGGCGTAAGGGAAACATCTCCTGCTGCACAGCAGAACAGGCTGCAGGCCCTTCAGAGCTGCTCTGGTGGCCAAGAGATGAGGCACCTCAGGCTACTGCCACACGCAGGAAACCCAGATGACAGCTCAGCTGCACACAATTGCATTAAAAGCACAGAAATAGAGATTTATAGGAGGCAGCACCAAAGCTGGCGGCGTGAGCCACACTCTCCTCCAGGAGAATTCTGCTCAGCAGCCCAAGCACTGCAGGCTTTGCTGCTAATAGGATCAATTCCTTCTAAAACCTTCCCCGGGGCAGTGGCCCAGGAACACGCACAGCTAACTTAGGCTGAAAGGGAATTTTCCACCACCTCCAAGCCTCTTTCTACCTCGCCTAAATCTCCCTCAAGCACAGGCTACAAAGAATCCACACCAGCCTCTGTAGATGATGGGTAACAAGTAATTGGGTGTGATAAATCTTCAGGAACCAACTCCCATGTCAGGTTTCCTTTACACCTTCACATTTCAAACAAGCACACATTGAATTTACACCTCCTTCCAGGTCCCTTCACGTTGCTGTAGTAATAGGATGGGGGCTTAGTGTAAATCACTGTAAGACCATTAAGCAGAAAGATCATTCACCCTCTCTCTGACAATTAAAGGCTATCAGATAGAGGCAGCTAACACTGACAAGACATCTTTTTTTTTTTCATCCCAGAAAATAAGCTTAAGCAATCCGTATATAATCACTCTTTTTCTCAGCAAACTTTCTGGAGCACAGATAAGATCAAAGGCAGCTTTCCCAGCCAACAAAGTTATTAACACCTCAAGGAAGAAGTAATGTTGCACAAAAGCCAGAGCTGTCTGATGGTTTCCTTGATCTGAGGAGGGAGACAAGCAGGGAGCTGATACCCCCAGTACAAACAGGGCAGCATCTGTACATGAATCAGAAAACAACATGCTTTTTTTGGTGAAAAAATATGTGTTTTCAGGACATTTTGGAATTGCTACTTCTTTGACAGTTCCCAAAATAATAAAAAAAAAACAACACACATGTATTTTTAAGTAGAGAAAAAAATCTTCATGGCATGCTATCAGAAAGCACATCAGTGACAATGTGTGCTGAGGCTAAAAAGAAAAGGGGACAGGCATTACCCTGAAGTTGTTTCACAAGCAAATGAATTCTGGATCCATTTTCACAAGGAAGGCAAACTCTCCCACCCCCTAAGACCTCAAAAAAACCCCAAATCCCAGCCAGCTTAATTTTATAAGGCACGTGAAGATAACAGACCCATGGAATACATTTTAATTTAATTTTGTCTTTGTTAGCTGAGGCCAAACTGAGCACAAGGGGAGTCTATTAGCAACAAGGAGCTCCATAGGAGCAGACACAGTAAACTGTTTGCTGTCTGTACTTTCTCTAAAGCTATCACACAGCACAGACTCTCTGATGTACAAAGAATGTTTTCCCTCCCTTCAAGAAAATTACTGCAACTCACTTTCCTCTGTAAAATGTGGTTAAAATGGGCCAAAGGATGCAAAAACGGCTTGGGAGAGACAACAAAACCAGACAGAGATGCACAAAGTAAAGATGTGAGTTTGTTTTCTGAAGGTGTAACAATAAGAAAAGTGAAGGAACAATCTGGGCCAGCAGTTCTCGAAATGAGACATAAGTATCACCTGCAGCTGGAAAGCAGTATGCAAATGACATTCAGGCAAGCCCCTGGGCCTACATTTGTAAAAGCCTTGTGTAGAGTACAATCAAGCTAAAACAGGGCACAATTCATCCTGACTAGGCAAGAGCCTCCTCCCCAACACAATATGCTCTGACCACTCTACCTGCACTGGACTGACCTAAGCAGAACCCAACCACACCTTGCCAAGGACTTTCAGAGTATCCAGATTTCTTCAAGAGACATGCCCAAATTGCACCATCATTACTTCAGCTATGCAAGGAAACAAAACTTGACACTTCTGGAAATAAAACACAGCTCAGGAATGTATCGTTGAAAGGAGAAACTTTGCATTTGAATTGAAGAAATGTTAACTCATAGAAGGCTCATAAAAGGTCTGGAAAACATGTGGGACGAGGTAGGGCTGAGGGAGTTGGGTTTGTTTAGCCTGGAGAAGAGGCAGCTCAGGGGTGACCTCCTGGCTCTCTGCAACTCCCTGCCAGGGTTGGAGAGAGGTGTGGGATGTGTGTCCTGCCAGGGCTGCAGGGAGAGGATAGAGGGAATGGCCTTGAGCTGAGACAGGGCAGAGTCAGATTGGATGTGAGGAGAAATGTTTTCCCTGTTAGGGTGTTCAGGCACTGGGATATTGCCCAGGGAGGTGGTGGAGTCACCATCCCTGGAAGTGTTGAAGAGACATCTGGATCTGACACTGGAGGATCTGGTTTAGGAGTTCCAGCAGTGACAGGTTAATGGTTGGACTTGATGATCTTAGACATCTCCTCCACCCTTGATGATTCTATGAGTGTTCCAGTTCCAGCCTGAAAATCATGGGAACATGGAGATGGGAGAGCAGTACATACCTCTGCCTAGGTCAGTCCATAGCTCTGTTCACAGATGCTCCAGAGAACACAACGCAGAGTAAGCAATTAGAAAATAATATTGTTACTTAGTATTTACGTAGCATTTTCCACCTGTCCATTCCTAAGCAATCAATACATTCAGCAATTTACCAAGAAAACCAAAAACATACATTTGTGTTCTGTGTGATCAGTAGCTTATGCTTTCAGAGGAAAACAATTCTACTTTAACTTTATTAGAATTAAACTTTAAGGCCTGAATTCACTATACATTATTCACTGTTACATTTTAAATCGGCAGCGAGGTAATCAATCAGGTCATTAGCTCCAAAACGCATTTAACAGTGCATTTTGCTAAGTTCCCATATTAGGAAAACCACAGAAAATAAAAACAAACCTGGAGCTGTTAACATCTTTTTGTCATTGGTTAAGAACTAACAAGTTAGGGCACTGTAATTGTTGATTTAAAACAAACAAACAAACAAACAAACAACAAACCTGAAAAATATTCCACCTTCCTTCCAGCTTTGCCACCCTGGGCTGGTCTCCTGCTAACGATGCCCAGTTAATGATCCTCCCTTATTTCAATTAGTCTGTTGAGATCTTTCTGAAATCATTTCCAGCTGCAACAGGGCTTCCTTTTTGTGGGTAGCAGCACATGTCAGCTTGGCACAGCTTTCCCTTTACACAAGTGCAAGATGCTCCCTTGTGTTAATACAGGAAGCTATCAAAAACATACTGTGGCTGGATTTAGAAGCAGATTCCATAGCACTGGCCATCATTAGCATTTCTAGCCAGCAACATTATGCTGATCTGAAAATAAATCTTTTGGGACTATGGTTTAAAAAAACACAGTTCACATGCTCACGGTGATGGAGCAATTCCTGTATTTCAGATGTTGGGTCTCTCTCTCTCTCCCCTCCACAGCCTGTGGGATGAGGTGGCAGCTCACGAGGTTTTATTGCTGATGAACTCAAACAAGAGACTGCTCTTTACAAGACACAATACAAGCACAGGCAAATGTGATGGCTGCAGCCACTCAGCTCTGCTCTTTGTGGGGTTTTTAATGCATAAAATGGGTACACAAATTTAAGTGACATTCAAACTCCAAGCAAGTAGCCAACTCGCCCCATTGGTAACACAAATGTTGGGAATTTGCCAGTTGGGACACTGTGGAAGTGAAGCACTGGAAAAACCAGGGACTCATCCAGTATCCTTTTCTCCTTGAGCAGTAGGGATTGAGATTCAGATTAGATGTTAGGAAAACTTTTTTCCCTGTTAGGGTGTTCAGGCACTGGAATAGATTGCCCAGGGAGGTGGTGCAGTCACCATCCCTGGAAGTGTTTCAGAGGTGTCTGGATCTGACACTGGAGGATCTGGTTTAGGGTTTAGGGGTTCCAGCAGTGACAGGTTAATGGTTGGACTGGATGATCTTAGAGGTCTCCTCCAACCTTCATTCTATGGGAGATGAATTTTCAGAGGGAAATAAACTTTCTGTTCTCTGAGGTACTGAATATTGAGCAAGGTTGGATGTAAGAAAAAGGTAGATCACTAATCCAGGTAACTCTAGCAGCTCTTTAATATGACATTGAACTTTTGTGATTTTTTTTTATTAATCTTAACTGTTAGAAGAAAAAACAAGTTAAATGGTGTGAGAGCATCTCGTGATTATTGTATGTGCTCCCACAAATACAATTAATACCTTAAAATAAATTTCCTTAAAGTTTCCCTAGTAGTTTCATATTTCTTCTATGCTCCATTTGCATCTGGTGTTCTCAGGTAACTTACACAGCCGGGAGTTTAACAGTATCTTGAGAATCCAAAGTAGAATTATGAAGCTCAATAGATCAGTAGTAAGTACAGCAGACACTTAAGTACAGAGACAGCTGAGCTCTGGGACCAGTCCCTTTTTTAACATCTCTAAAGCTTCTGTCTAATTAGGTTCATTTTGTGACAAACAAGAATGGGATTAGATCAGCATTACTGTTATTATAGCAGCCACATGACAGAACCTAGATGATTTTATTTGTTGAGCATTTCATCAAGTTTTAGTCCTGTACTGGCCTCTCATTTGCAAAGCTCATGGGAGACTACCCAACTCTCTCATGAGCAAGAGTCACCATGTTTACCCACATGTCAGAGTGAACCTACAGTGAAACTGCCATCGTTATAAATACTTCACCACACCTTAAAAATGCCATTCTGTCTGGGAGAAGAAGAGGAAGATCACAGCCCATTTGTTCCCCTTTTTTCTTTTTTTTTTTTTTACCTGGAGGGAAGAGAGGAGAAGTGGAGTTCTGTATTTCAGATAACAGAGACATCATTCCTAACAGATTATGTGATGTTTCACTGAAAACATGGTCAGTAAACAACAACTAGAAGCCCCTACTTGTTCATACGACAAATACTTCACTGAAAAATGGAGCAACATCAAAAAGCTAGAAAACAAATGGTCATTCTCAGCTCTGTCTGTGCTGCAGCTGGTATTCAGATTAATCCAAGAGACACTTCTTCAGAGCTTAGCCCAGGTGTCAGTTAAGCAGGAAATCTGGCTCCGGATAACCAAAGAGTTTGAAATCGCCTTCGAATCGTGCATAGAGGCGTCTGATGTCTCTCTTGCTAATTCCTGAAAAATACCTCTCCACTTTTGTTCTGTTGTACACTGTTATGCCTGGTGGGATCGTGGGGTATGACACCAGGTGGTCTATGCCTGCTGCTTTCAGGATATAGGGAGCATCGTCCTCCAGGGTCTCGTGGTGTCCGATCACGCTGTAGGTGATCTCGCAGGGAGCACAAAGTTCCACGTATGTTACCCAGTGGATGATGTGGTCACCAAACTGCACATCCAGCCAGCGGTGGTTGGGGTCCCCCAGATAGCGCACGAAATCCTCAAACTGCAGCCCCTTGGTCTCCGTGCGATTCCTGCGGTACTTCCGGATGATGCCAGGAGCAATTTCGTGCCGGTACCAAGGTTCAAACCGAGGATTGTGCACAAACTTGTCTTTAAATGCAGAAATGAGTCTTTCAAATGGATCTCTAACGATAAAAAACTTGAAGTATAAATTCAATCTAAACAGAAGAAGGGGAAAAAAAGAAATTAAATCACAGAATCATAGAATTAGGGGTTGGAATGGACCCTAGAGATCATCTAGTCCCAACCCCCCTGCCCTGGGCAGGGGCACCTCCCTACTACACCAGGTTGCTCC